ATTTTCGTCCTAAATGTTGAGTTGTTTAATTTCTGTTGTTTAGATATTAGACTTTAAAGTTTTTGCATGTTACATTTTAGTCATGTGGATTTGTCATTTTAAGTTCTTGTGATGTTGCATATTTGGCATAGCATTTTCCCGGTTTTCATTTTAGTTTTATAGGTGGTCTTGGTTTTACTTTGATCTTAGTATATGTAATGCATTGATAGGTTTTTTTTTGTGATCTTTGTTTAATAGTGATTTTAGCTTTAGATTTATTTGCTAATTCATTTTAATCGTATGTTTACTTAATTATCACATGACATCTCTTTTGCATAATTTTCATGATAGCCTCATGAGCATGACCCGACACCACCACATAATCGGATTAAGGGTAATACCCTTTTAATTTAAAACTGTTAGAATAGCTTTTCTTAACTTACAGAGAAGTTGTTCTTAATAGTTTTAAATTACAAGTGTATCCCGTCATTGTCACCAAAAATTTGATTCTTCACTTTAAAATTTGGGAGTGAAAGAAAAAGGAATGTTCGGCTATTTAAATTTGTTGAGAAAAGGTCGTTAGAACTGACCTAAAGATCTGGTCTCAATATATTTAAATAATCGAACATTCTTTATCTTTCTAATGGCTTGGTAATTTTAATATAACTTATTTTGTTGCTTTTGAATGTTATAAATTTGCATTTTTGTTGTTAAAGGGGATCATTAATCAAATTAAGCTTGAACTTGTGAAATTCGTTGCAAAGACATTAATTAATCGACTAGGTACCGATTTAGGGCGTTGTGGGGGTGCTAATCCTTCCCCACGCGTAACTGACTCCCGAACTCAGATTTTGATAACGCAGACCTTAATTTGTTGTTTTAATTAAAAATATTTTTTATTTAAAATGACAACGTTTCTGGGTGCCCAATCACACCCTAATCAAAAATTGGTGGCGACTCCTCGAACCATATGTTTTTATCGTAAAGGAATTCCAAATTTTTTGAATCGAGAGGTTTTCTAAAATCGTAATGTTTTTAACTAAAATCAATCATAATTAAAAATGACGCGGTTTTCTAAAATCTTGCGCCCCCACCCAGGTACAAAAATCGTTTCGACACCTAGATAGCATCAAACCATTATGAAATGATTACTATCACTTTGTTTCGCTACGATTTTCATTGGATGGATGGATCGAGAGACGGGTGAGAGTAATAATATATGTTTTTTTATATTTTCTATTGAAAATATATTTTTATCATTTTTTTATTAATTTAAGGTGATTACAATTCTAAATATTTTCAACTATTTGACAATGAAAGCTCAAACACTCTTACATTCTTTAGTGCTTAAATCTAAAACTTCTAGGGATAACAACCATTTCTTTAACCCCTACAATTTTAAAAAATTATTTCTCTTTAAAATTTTATACATTCATCCCTCGTAATAAAATTTTGGGTTCATTCCTATCTTTGATGATCTCTACTTCAATCTTATTGACAAAATAATAAGAACGAACCCTAAATCCAATTCAATAACCAACCTTACTATAATTATTTTACTAAAATTTAGGAAATCCCTCCCCAAACGAAGATTATATTTTGAGACCAACTTTTAGAGGTGAGTGTTTGATCAAGTTGAGTAAATTTGTTTTGAGTTATCCGAGTTGACAAGTTTTATTTTATAACTCGAAGTTGACTTGAAACTTTTTCGAGTCGATTTGAGTTTATAAAATTCGAGTTGAGTCAAGTCAAATTTTTTAGTTTCTATTTAAATTTAATTTTAAATATTTATAATATTATGATATTATTTGATTCCAATTTAATTATTTTCTATATCCATATACAATTCATATATATTTTTCATATTTTTTTCATATATGATATACATATATCATATAGAGTCGAGACACTCGACTCTAACTTGAAAATCAATCCACTCATTACTAAAAATTTTGAGTTATTCGAGTTGTATTTTACAACTCGATTTGAACTTGAATTTTTTTGAGTCAAATGAGTTTATGAAATTACAACTCGAAACCAATTCAAGTTGAATTTTTTCATGTCCGGTCGAATTTTGCTCATCCTTAACTACCATACTTATATTTTGTCCCAATGTGTACCTAATCTAATAAAAATTAAAGAGTTAAAACCTTTTTGCCTTTCATTTTTTTAATATATATATATATATATATATATATATATTACAAGTAAAATATTTATTAATATAAAATGTTCTATAGCGGCAACATTTAACGCTTGTTTGAATTTTAATGAAGGAATGATTTAATTATAACAAAATTTTAATGAAATGATTCGGTTATAATTTTAAAAAGAATATGACATATTTATAACTTAAATTAATAATTAAATTATTTGGAATGTAATTTATTATAATTTTAACCGATGAGATAATTTTTATCTTCACAACTCGTGTCTTGTCAGTCATGACTCAATTTTATCAAAATATGCTGTATAAGAGAATTTATTAAACGAACTCGATAGTAAAATAGATTGTCGTTCTTTCTTAAAGTTTTAAGTTTGAATAATTATGTATGTATAATGTAAGTGTATTTATTATTAATTAATTAAGAAAATATTAAACAAATATTATCTTCTAATAATCTCAGAGTAATAAAAAATATATAAGTAAATTATGAAGGTAGATTATCTATTACAAGATATTTTTTTAGTTGGATCATTCAATTATAAAAAAAATATAAAATGATCACTCAATTAATTAAAAGTTATAAAATAAACACCAATAATTAAATTTTAGATGTAAAGTTGACATGGAAGCTAATAAAATTAACATAATAACAAATACAATCATTAACATTTACAAATTATTTTAATTTAATCCCAATTTAAAAAAATAGTTTCAGTATTTAAACAATTTATCATTTTAACCCCTATATACTTATCGACTAATAAGAATCAAATCAATTTAAATGAAAAGATCTAAGGTGCCTTTTGGTTCGTTAGAATGTTTATGAGGAAATTGAAATCTGTCAGGAATTGGAATCCAATTCCATATTCTGTTTGGTTGGCAGGAAATGGAATTGGAATCCAATTTCATATTCTGTTTGGTTCTCAGACATGTCAGATGAATTTAATTTCAGTAATGTAAAATGACAGAATTGTCATTCTTGTTTTTTTGCTTTATTTTAGTTTGTTTTACAACTTACATGTAATAATATATTATAAAAAATTAAAAAATATTAAATTTTCATTTTATTGATTGATTATTCATTTCAATAAATTATAAAAATCATGCTAATAAACATCATAAGTTAAAATCATCGCAATCAAAATATGTTAATAAGTTATCAAAAGATTGATGAGGTTAGTATGGTCAAATTATATAGAGGGGTATTATTATAATTATTTCTAAATATATAAGGTAAAATTATATATATTTTCGGGTTTAAAATAACCGACCCGACCAAAAAAAAGTTTCACCCGACCGACCTAAATATATGAATTAGAAACCCGACCCGAAATAATAAAAAAATATTTTTATTCAATATATGAATAAGTTATCAAAATATTGATGAGGGTAGTATGGTCAAATTTCAATTCCCTCCAACAAGGGAATTGAATTCCATCCATTCTTAGATGAAATTCAATTTCCCTCATTTGATGGAAAGTTGAAGCCATGAGGGATTCCAATTCCCTTGAAAAACTTAAACCAAACATGAGAAAGTGGTGGAATTAGATTCTAATTCCCCCTAATTCCAAAGAATTTTATCCAACCAAATGTTACCTAAATGTATTCACCACCAATAAAAAACAAAATCTTTAAAAATAGTGAGAAGTTTACGAGCACAGGAGGTGTAAAGAAAGTCATTTAATATATAAAAAATTAATGTTGTTTTTGAAAGTTGAAACATCAGTTGACTTGCACAAAATTTTAATTAAAATCTGAGTATTTTTGGATCCAGACATCTTTCGATAAATCAATCGACTATCAATTATTTTTCTAAATCATCTTAAAATACGTTTGTCGAATATCAATAATACATTTTATATTCATTTTTAACTAAGTTAACGCAAGCATAAATTTCGATATATATATATATATCGAATATGAGATTTTTTAAGTATTATAAATTTCCAATGATAAATGTTATTGGAGTTCTTTACTGATTCTCAAAGTAAAATTAGTAAAATATTATCGTTGAAAAAAATAGGAAAATACTATTCAAGAAAAATATTAAGGGAAATAGGATGATTGTTATAGTAGCGAGCAAAATCGTCAACACGTTAAGACAATTTTGACAAAATCATCAATAGATGAGGATAATTTTGAAATGTTATAACTTTGTGTTTCATTGAGACAAAAATATTTTTTAATCCACTGAACTTTTCGACATCTATACGTTTGCAAGGCGTCGTATTTCGTCTCGAAAAAACAAAAGTTGAACTTTTACATTTTAAATTTGACTTCGTTCTTTTTTATTCCGTTAGACTTAAATATTTGTTTTTTTAAATATATTTTTTACAAAAGTATATGATTATTTATAAATATATGATTATTTATATAATTTTAAATATATGATCATTTATATATAAATTCAGGAGCTTATTTAATATTTTTTGTATACACATAAATTCAAACTCGAGACGTATTTAAATAATATGAAATTATATATTATTTAAACTAATTCTGTTGATTAAAATAAAATAAGTATTTAATCAAATGAGAGAATTTTTTTAATCATTATAGCTTTAACTAATTATCCTTATCTTTAAAATGAAGGTAGACAAAGACAAATAGAAAAGAAAAAGGGTAGATAAGGACAAGAAAACTGGCAATGTGCCAGCTCAATAATATCTTATGAATTTCAAAGATATGACTCATTGCTCCAATTTTGGAAAAGCAAGCCAAAAGAAGCCTCAATAGAGATCAGATTTGATCCAAACCTTTGTTTTGGTTCTTAAAGATAAGAACCAGCACTGATAAAAAAAACCCATTCCTCATATTCATCTCTTGTGATGTGATTTTTCTTTTAATATCATCAAACATGTTAGAAGGAAAAGCTTTGGTGGATGACTCAGATATGCCATTGAAGATGCAGATTCAAGCAATGTCTTTTGCTTCTCAAGCCCTTGATCTTTATGATGTCTTTGACTGCACTTCTATTGCTGGTTTTATCAAAAAGGTTTCTTTTTTTCCCCTCTCAAATTTGGGAATGGTTTCAAGTAATTTTCTTTTAATGAATGTAAAGTTGTTTTAGCAGGAGTTTGATGGGAAATATGGGAGTGGATGGCAATGTGTGGTGGGTTCAAATTTTGGGTGTTTTTTCACTCATTCCAAAGGGACTTTCATTTACTTTACAATGGAGAGACTCAAGTTTCTTATCTTCAAAGGGGTATCAGCTTCATCTTCAACCTCTCCTTAATGTGTCTTGTATCTAAATTTGCAAGCTTCATTCTTTACTTTTTAGCTTGACTGATACTATAAAAATAAGTTGGTTTTTGTTTTATTCGATCAAGGAAGGTTGATTAATTCGATATTTGTAATCCAAGTGAAGCAAATGGAGTGGTTGCTTGCTGTGGAAAAGCATACCAGTTCTGGGTGTTTTAACCCCAAATTGGATCATTTGGAACTGCATCGCTGTAAAATTGATTGTGGAAATGTTTCTCTTCTTGTAACGATACAATACTTTTCTTTTTAATATCTTATTCTGTCGGTGCTTAAAGAGGTATATATATATATATATATCAGTATTTGATTTCTTGATCAATTAATTTAGATTAGTAATGCAGAGGTAAGACTAATAGATTATTGTTTTGTAAGGTATATATTACTACAGTTTTGAAGAAAAAACATTTCAAAGGTTAATACAAGACAAGACGGTATATGTTTAAATATTATTAATCATTTGAAATATATTATTAAACATTTCAACGTGAGTATAAGATTTATCACTTGCCTTTATTATTATTAAAAATGTATAATACTATAAAATAATTAATCCTTGATTTTCCAAAGTATATCGGACCACAATTTTTTATTATTTCCTTTTTTTTTTCTATTTCTTCATTTCAACTGAGTTTAATTCATCTTTACATGTTAATAAAAATAAATATATTATATCAATCATCAGTAGGTTTTTTTCCAGTTTAGACAAAAAATTATAAGCGATGGTCTAACAATTGTTTATCAACGATTTTGATGATGGAAAAGATAAATAATGACATTTTAGAAAGAGAGATTAGTCAAAAAAGAAGTATAACGTCTTCTCCATCATAAGAATTTATATGCTTAGGCCTACTATCACCACTACATTGTGTAGACTAAGTATAAAAATGTATTCACCAGTCTGCTGATATGGTCTTGACAAATCTATTGAGTCTGTCAAGAGTCTTTGTTAAGGGTTTATAGCCGGCTGGAGGACTTGTTTTATAAGAGTCTTGTTGGAGGTAATTTCAGTGAGCGAAAGAATCATAAACGTGAAGGGAGTATTTTCTGCGGTTGAGACATGCAGAGTTTGATTGGATGGAGGAGATATATTGATGGTGTAACATAGGGGCGTAGCTAGAAAATTTGATTTTGGTGTCAAATTTAGAAAGGGTAAATCACAGGATTAGTCACTTTTATTTAAGTTTTGTACATTTTTCCTCATTTAATTCCAAAAACATAATATTTGTTCACTTTTATTTTTATTTAATTAAGATGTAGTTACTGATAATTATCTGTCGTTAGACCTTTAATGGATTGCTAACCTGACATAGTAAATTTACAAAAATAAAAAAGTAAACTACACAAATGGTCATTAATGTTTGAGTAAGCTTTTGTTTTCTCCATTAATGTTTCAAAAGTAACAAATTGGTCAATAAAACATCAAATAGGTCATTGAAGAATGATTTTATATCTAATTTAACCCTAAAGTTTTCTAATTTTTCAATATTTATGTATATATTTTTTAAATTTTAAAAATAAAACTTAGAAATTAACTTTCTTGGACATGAAGCAATCAAATATTTTGAATTATAAACAAAAAATGGAATAAATTAGATATAAAATCATTGTTCAAGAACATATTTAATATTTTACTGATCAATTTGTTACTTTTGGGATATTAGTGAGGAAAACAAGAACTTACTCAAACATTTTTGACTAATTATGTAGTTTATCCTTTTTAGTTTTATAAATTCATTGTGTCACATCAGCAATTCGTTAAAGGTTTAACGACAATTAACTCTCAGTAACCACATCTTAATCAAATAAAAATGAAAGTTATCAAATCTTAATTGTATAAAAAATGAAAGTGACCAAATATTATATTTTTTGAATTCAATGAGGAAAAGTATACAAAACTTAAACGGAAGTGATTAATCATGTAGTTTACCCATTTAAAAATTATATAAAGAATTTCTTAAGTGGAAAATTTGAGTTTTAAAATTTTTATTATTAAATTTTTTAAAATGTGGAGTCAATTTCTTTCTTGAAAGGTGTAAAAACATTTTTAAAGGAGTGTTATTTTTTTCTTTTATAATATATATATATATATATATATATATATATATATATATATATATGAGTAAAAAGAAAATTAAAAATCAGCCTACACTGCCCTTGCCTATGGTGTAACAATTGTCTTTCCTTTAATTAAGGGAATAACTTAAAGTAACTTGATCCGAGTAAAGATGTAAAATCAGGTAATCGTTCATGTTTCAGTTGGATCTTGTCAGATCGGTTAAAATCGGATACATGTCAAGTTAGGTCAATTTGATGCTTCGATTCAGATTAGGTCGAGTCATTTTTAGGTTGATTTAACACCAGGTTCAAGTCGGATTACTTTCAGTTCGGATCGATATCAGTTCAGGTCAAAACTTTTCAAGTCTGATTACTTTCAGTTCAGATCGATGTCAGTTCAAGTCAAAACAATTCAGGTTGGGTTACTTTCAGTTCGGATCGATGTCAGTTCCGGTCAAAATCGGATGAACTTCAGGCAAATCTCGTTCAGATCGGGTCACATCATTGGTAAATAAAATTCAGGTTTGATCTTTATCAGATACAGATTGAGTTCAAATCGGGTCAATTTTTATTTTTGGATTAATTATTTTATTCTTTAGCAAACGTCGAATTGCAATTTGTAATTGTATATGATTTAGAGTAAATTACTAAGAATATAAATAATCATGGATCATTTTTTATGAAAAATATAAAATTAAGGACTAAATTGAACAAATATGAAATTACAAATAAAAAATAAATAAATTAAACAACACACATTGTTGAAGAACCAAATCAAAATAATTTTAAAAAGTGAGGTTGAAATTAATATAAAAATGACTAAATTATATCCATTTAAAAAGTTATGTGCTAATTAGAAAATTATAAATAAGAAATAAGATTGGACCAAATTCAAATTTAACTATAAATTTAATGATTAAATTGAATAAATATGAATGAATTAAAATTTAAATAAAGTAAAGAACAAAAAAGGATGAAATCAAAATGATTGTAAAATGTGAAGCAAATCTGAAAAATAGAGTAAATTGCATTAATTTCAAAAGTTAAGATAAAATTAAAAAAATATAATATATATATATATATATATATATATATATATATAAAGTATATAATAATAAAATATATAAACTATATAGTTTATATTTATAATTTTGTATATTGTATATAAATTATGTAGTGTATATATGAACTATATAAAAACTATATGGTTTATATATATGTATATATATATATATATAGTTTATATAATTTATATAATTATATTAATAAACTGTATAGTTCATTAGTATATATAAACTATTAAACTATATATTATGTAGTTTATTAGTATATATAAACTATATAGTTGATATAGTTCATTCGTTTATATAAATTATATAATATATAGTTCATTTGTAACACCCCAACTCGTATCTGACCCAAATTCGAATATGAGGTATCATATTGACTTTTCAAACCATTTACTTTTGCAAAAATAACTAAAATTTAAGTTCACATTTAAAGAAAAACTAAATAATTTACATTAAATAAATTCAATTGATTTTACAAAAATCTATCATAGCATATCTAATTCCAATCTTTAATTACATGCCAACTACATTCCTTATAACAAAATACATACAATTCAAATTATTTTCTGATCTGATCTTTGGGAAGGAGAGGCTAATCTGACTTGCCTATCTTTGTTCCTCTTGCATCTCGGAACCTACGTGTGAAACTCTCGCACGCTAAGTCATTAACATAGTGAGACATATAAAACATATAATGTAACTTTAATTACTTAACAATGCATGAACAATTCATACAATACCATATAATAATTTATATAACAAATACATACATATCTACTATCATTATCATCATCACATTCTTATAATTATCAATATTATTTTCATAAATTCCTTTAATCATATAATCTTATACTTAACACTTATACTGTAATGCCCCCAACCCGTATCCGACCCGGATACGAGTCCGAGATGTCACATTGACTTTTTAAAACAATATACTTAAATAAAACAATAAAACATTTGGACTTATATTAAGAAAATACTATATTATACATAGGTTTATACAAGGATCACATAATAATTAGAGCATATACAACTTAAACCTTGGATTACATGCCAACATTGATTTATATAACAAAATAACCTACTGTTTAAGTTGCTTCTGATATGATATATGCAAAAGTGATGCTATCTTCGCTGTCTATCCTTGCTTAGCTAGCTTCTCGGATCATACGTGTGAAAACTCATACGCTAAGTCATCGACTTAGTGAGGCATAATATGTAATAATATTATAATGAAATGAAATATAAAGCATCCATGCAATGCAACTTATTTAATCATGCAATTCACTTATAAACTTGTTAATGTAACAATTATGAATTCATATTAATTAACTCATTAGCCCATGATAAAATACTGAGAACCTAAGGTATGTGAGTACAGTGAGGTTGCGCACTATGCTGTCACTATAGCTCGTATAAATGCATCGAAGTGCCACGTAGAATTGCACCGAAGTGCCGCGTAGAAATGCACCGAAGTGCCATATAAGATGTCAATAAGGACCACATAGAAATTCCTTAAGAATCATATACATATTCCAAGGACCAAGTATGTGTCTCAAAAAACCTCATAAATGTTCCAAAGGATACATATATGTCCCGAAGGACCGCGTAGACCCTCGAATCTTGGCATGCCAACTATACCTATAGCTCTCATTTACATAACATGGGTTTTTACATTTCACATAGTTTATATCTCATAGACAATAAATTCTTACCTTTATTACATGGTTCATGTAAACTTTTCATACATATTCACTTATAATCATTGTCACATAATGCATATAATATGAATTCATGTCATGTATCACAACATGAAATGTAATCATGTATTAGGAGTATTGACTCTACACTTATCACAAGTCTAAAGTTTAATATACGATTATAATCATATTATGCATATGCACTCACCTATATCTCCTTGTCTTTTCCTCGATCGATATTACTTGTCAATTGTTCCGGAACTCGATTAGGCTCAGTATCTACATAAATATAATTTCCAAAACATTTATTAGGAGCCTAAACATATAACTCAATCTTAATAACTTAAACTATTAATAACCGAAAATAATTCACATTTCCTTTTTAAGTGGTATCA